TGTAGCAGTATTTTACTGTTGCAAATATGCTTTATCTATTACAGTATCTCACTGATGCTAAACATTGCCTCTGTAGCAGCAATTTGCTGTTACTGCTATTACAAGCATATTTTATTTATTACAATAATGCATTGATACAGATAGTCATAGTTGTAGCAGTAATTTTTATATCAAAAAATGTTATATAACACTAACTCATTAATATAGAAAAACGTAGGTACTACAAAATCTTTATAGGTTCATTCTAGCTGTTACAGTATTTTCCTGATGCATCTGTTTATCCATTTAATTGCAGTAACTTCGTTCAGTATGTAGCTTTTCTAATGTAATAGACACTGTTAAACTGTAACAGTAATTTTTTTTTGTCACAGTTGTAGCTCGTGAATTTAGTAAAATAGTTTAGTGGTATATCTGATTCATATAAAATTATTACAGATATTAACCGTGGTTATTACTCACTCTTCCAATGCTGAATAACCGAATTGTTCACAGTAGTTCATTGTTTCATGTTGAATATCTTGGACAAAGAAAAAAATCTAGATAAAATCTCCTAACCTTTGTTTTCAAATTCTTATTATGTCCTTATGTAACATGTAATTAGTTTTCTGATAATTTAACTTAAGCAGAAATGTTAAAAACATTTGCTGGCAATTGAGTGATGTATTTAATTTTCAGAATTGTTTCTCCTTTGCTTTTGTATGGGGGAGGATATTGACGTGTCAGTACTGAAGCAGTTTGATTTATCTGGGCTGTAGGGAATGTTGTATGGAAAGTGAGAGTTCAGAAGTGTATACTTCAGCTGAGAGGGCTGAAAAACTTACCAGGAAATTTTAAGGAGTACATTTATAATAAAAGGTGTGGTTAAATTTATTAAAACAAGTACCTGAAGAACATGTTTTCCTAAGACTAACTGGTATAGTAAGACCTTTTAGTACATGTATGTGAAACTTATATATGCAATTATATGAGAGTTTGCCTGTGACTGTTTTTAGTACTCACAGTTTATATACATATTTACACACACACACACACACACACACACACACACACTTTTGGAAATTGTTTGTTAACATCTGTGACTTATGGTTGTTCTAATATCCGTGTCCAAATCACTAGGCCCAAATCCTCCAGTTCTGGTTTATATGTACCACAATAGTACAGTTAATTCAAATTTAAATTATCCAACTAAAATTTTTGGTAAGGTTCAAGTAGAACAGCTATTAAACTCTTGATGACTGTATCCAAGTGACTCTACGGATTTTATTAAAATGATGGGCACTTAACTTATAGCATTGAGATGATTTGGCAATTAGAAACTAGCAACTGAAAATGTTTAGAGTTTTGAATAATGTTTGATACTAGCTATTTAACAGCAACTCTGTTACATCCTCTCATCAGTAATATACTGTATTGGACCATGTCATTTTGAAAATTTTGTTTTGTAAGTTCTGATTGGGTATTGTTTTTCCCAGAGACAGGAAATTTTATTCTTTGATGTAAACTTTATACTCATTTACACAGAACCCTCTAAACTAATGCATATTTTATTTTATTGCATTACTAGATATTGAGATGTCCAATAATACCACAGATCAATTTATAGTGCTAACTATTGATGCCTTAGTGCATCTTTTTACATCATAATAGCTGGCTAGCAATGTCAAATAGATGTAATGTGGCTGCTGTGTAATTTCATATTGTGTTACAATTTGTATGCACTAAGAAATCAAATTGTAATTAGTCTGTGTTTAAAAACTTGATTTAATTTTTTATGGCCACAATACCATTAAAACACAATATCAGTGCATTTGAGCTTCCCTTATATATATGCCAATGAACAGTTGGTTCTGGTCTAGAGTGAAATATGACATCTCTGAATCGTTAAGTGCCTAACACTTGTCATGATAGCTTTGTATAGTGAGTCCCAAGTTCATTAAGAAAGTTAGCTAGTGATATGTTACCTAAGGCCCTTAACATCTATCCAGTAACTTTGAAGGAAATATATGATCATCTGATGGTATGAGACATAGACCTCTAATAGAAGTGAAGCTAACCAGTGTAAAAGAAAAAAAAGCCACTTCTCATTAAAGTTGAGTAGTGTTCCTTGTTTTGAAATAATAACTATATCACTCAAATTAAAGGATAAAAAATAATAATAACAACAATTGACATGAGTTCAAAATTCAATGGTATTTTGTCCAGGAAACACTTGGCCAGTTAGTTATGTGACATCTTTTCCTAGTAGAAATCTGATTTTAGGACTTTTAAAACATATACCAATATCATTTTGTTGATCTTTAGGGTTAACATTTTGTTCAATGTATTACAGAAGGCTATAGCAAATCGTCTGTACTCTTTAAAGCTTATATTTTGTACATACTCAGCTGGATAATTTTAGGATATATACATACAGGCAAGACTAGTCATTGTAGCAATGTACGTTATTCGTTTTTTTTTTTTTTTAATTCACACAAATGAGACATTCCCTTCCTGTTGTGTAAAATTTACACTGACCATGATGGATAGTTAAAAATGACATTTCAGATTATTTACTTCTTATTTTTTATTTTATTTTATTTTTTTGTCTTCTAGTGACAGGGACATCTATCCTGTTATGTGGCCTATGAGTTAAGTAGTCCACTGAACTGAAATTGTTATATTTTGTGGCTAAACTATTTCTGCTGTGTTGTAAGATGTGTAGTTATCCAGCATAAAATATTTTTATGTGGTTTTTCTAGTGTTTTATGTAGAAAATGACTCGTTAAATTTTGTGAAATTGTATAGCTTTGTGAATAAATATAATTATTAACCTTTACCCGAATTGGTTAATAAGTACTACAGTGGTTAATTCTACATTGTTTAATTGTTTTACAAGAGTTCTGAAAAAAAATAAAGGTGGGATATGACAAGTTTTCTCTCCTCTTACACATTATATGAAAGTCTTTTGGAATTGTTTCATATTTATCAGTATTCAACACCATTTACTAATGCTTCCATTGTAGTATACTTTGTTGACCACGTGCTCAGTAATGTAAGATATATATATGCCGTCTAATATTAAAATATTATTCACTGGTTGGAAAATGTTTTCTGTTTTAGTTATTTGCTTAGTGTAGTCAATATAAAGAAGACATTCAAGTAATAATGGCCAAAAATGAAGCCCGCCGCAACCTCTGCTGTCTGTCTGAGAGCTCGTGAGGCCAAAAAATCGGTTCTTGACACTCTCGGCGAGAAGAGTACAGTTAGCTCATTAACAACAAACAAGTAAAACAAAAATGACAAACTTCTATACATTCGTAGCTGACTTGCATTCAGAGAAAATAAATGACAAATATGAAAGAAATTTTCCTGAAAAAAAAACCCTTAAAAATAGCAATAATGGATAGAAAAAATAATATAATCAAAAATTCAATCAGATAATGTTTCGTTATATTGTAACTGCTTAGTTAAAATGACGAAAAGCATAAAAATTACTGATTACTTCTGCCTTCCCCTTTCCAAAGGCTTGTGTTATTATATTAGTAAATGCTACGTTATGCTATTTGAGAAAATAGCTTTGTTCGATCTATAGATTATAGTTTAGTTGTTTATTTTTTAATGCGAAATCACTTTATGCTGTTTATTAGTACAAGTTTGTGACGATCGTATTTCAATTGTCATTGTTGGTTAAATATACGATCACTGAAGTCTAATTATTCGTTACATTTAATTACCCTAGACTGATTAATTAGTGCTGTCTTCTTTAGGAAAGCCCTGTATCTTTGGTGGTATTAGATTTTGGTACTTTGATTGAAAGACTGGCGTAAACTAGATGAAGTAGGTAGTGTAATAAGCGTTTTAATATTGTTTTCTTACAAACATTGAAATTAAAAATCTTTCTTTGCCAAAATCATAAAAGCTTACTGTGAACTACATATATATGCATGTTTGTTAAATATTTCTTTTTCACCAAAGGTGAAATTGAAAAGGGAATCTGTAACATAGAGGCCTGTATGGCCAATTAAAAAGGACTTAAAGCCCCCTTACTGTAACTTATAATGTTCTTTAAAGGCAGTAATGTGAGGTAAATATGAATGAAATTTGTTTATTATTTAAAGATGGATGTATGAAGAGCAAAAAAGTAATGATGTATATGTAAAAAAAACGGCCAACATTTGGTAAGATGTACATTATATTTGTCCTAGTGTTTCTCGCAAAGCTAAGTGGGGCTATATGAACTAGCCGTCCCTAATTTAGAAATGATAGACGTAGATGGAAGGCACCTATTCACTTGCCGCCAACTCTTGGGCTACTCTTTACTACTAAATTGGATT